CCCTAAGGAAATAATCACTTAATCTTCTGTTCCTCTTATTAACATCCCCTACTACATAATACCAACCACCTTTCCTTGGAGATAAAGTAGCTGACTGGCATCTAATTAAACTCACAATAACTGTTTTCAGCATCTTCTTTTAGTTTTAAAGTTTGCTTCTTCTACTTCAGTCCTGAAAAGGGCCCATGTCCCTGAAAGATTTTCTGGTTTTCCAACTATATAACTTAATGACATTAAATAAAATATATTACCTTGTAAACTGTAAAAATTGGTTTAAATTAAAATAGTTTGCAATGATACCACCAGGGCTCTTACGATGGCTTACTATGGCTATTCCCCATCTATGGCTGATATAGGAAAGTTGTTTTCGGAAAAACCCACTGATGCTGCTTCTGGCTACAGAGTTACAATGGAGCCCATCGATATGTGTAGTCAAAACCAGAGGGTCTCCTTTTCTTTTCTTCAGTTACGGCTGTGTCACCCAACAGAACAGATTTAAAGTATTACGGGGCCAGAGAGAGCCATTAAACACTTACGTAGTTAAAAACTCCAAGGTAAAGCAGAGAAACTAATTTTAAAGCAAGAACCAGAATCCAAGTTTCTGCCATTCCAGATGTAAGCCCCAAGCACTAGATTACAGACTCACATCTCCCTATACTGGCTGTTTCTGCCCCCGTTTATCATCCTTTGCAGAACAGGACAGGAGGACCCACTGTCACACCCACCCACCCACACATTCCCTCTGCAACCATGGGTTTGAAGTCCTTTGGGCTGAAGAAGAGCTATCCGAAGCCAGTCTCCTCTCACTTCTCTGACGAGTGCCCTAACCAGTGAGCTACTTTAAAACAGAGGTATCATTTCCATCCCATCTTTTAAAAGAAAGGTTAACTCTCAGTTTCCCCTCTGAACAATTCTAGACTTCTGGTCTCAGATGCGGACCCCAGTTCTGTGGATGAGTAACGATGCCTTGTGTCCAGTCTGCCTGCTCATTCAGTATTAGAGAGAATTAAAAATGCAGGTCATGATAATAACAGAATAATCAGTGAAAAAACTCCGAATGTATTATGCTGATAACAAGACTATTTCAAGTTCTCTACAGAATATCAAATATCTATTTGAGATTACTCTGATTAGCACTCCAGATCTAATTCTTACTTTGTGATTTTCTTTTAACCTGTGAAGTTTAGTTAGTTAATTAGTTAAACCCAGCTCTGATTCCGGGTTTGTACACATTTGCTTTGGCAGCGTTAGTGCAGTTCTTGCCATTGGCCCCATCTGTACCTGCAAGTCAAGGACTGGCTTCGTTCGGTTGATGCCATTTTGCCAATGAAACCAAACAAGCAATTGCTGCCGTTTCCGAATGGTGACACATACCTGCCTCCCAGCCTCGTTGTTGTGCAGGTTCATCGCCGCCAGTCCGCTCCCGTTCTTGCCCGTTATGTTCTTAACGGGCACATCCAGGAACTTTCTGCTGAATGACATTCCGTAGTGGATATCATCGGAGCAGCCGCCCCAGTGCCAGCCCTCGCTGGCCGAGCCGCCGTGCCGCAGGTTCGTGTCGCAGGAGCACTCGGTCATGTTTCCTGCGCTGCACGATCGCGTCACCGAATGCACGAGGCCCGCCGACGTCACCGCATATATGAACGCGGTCTCCTTCGTGCCTACAAAGCAAGGCACGAATGTGTTACTTCGTAACTCCCTCTGATTACCTTCCTGGCGGAGCTGTAGAAACCCATTTTACAAGCCAGACTACTATTAAAAGGGAACAGTTACAAGTTTAAAGTCATCGCAGCTTGGTCTGTAGAGTTAACTTGTTTAAAGCACTGGATATTCGCATCCAAAAAAGACTTCAGGGCCTCTTCATATGACCGTGCTATTAATGGTACTGTTTCTGGCTGCTTGTACCATGGGATTTTTGGTTATGCCTTTCTAAATCTGGTTGGAACTTTATTTGCCCCAGAAACTTTCAAGCCAATTACGTTTTAATAAATAAATAAAAAAAATCACCCCCAAAACAAACCACACCCCAGACTCCTTACTCTCCACTCTGCATTTCACTATTCATATTGATTTGAAGAAGAAGAAAAGGTTAGTTCAGATCTCAGAGGAGGAGCCTGAAGCTGTCACGATCCCGGGTTACTTTGGTATAGAGCCAGAACTTACCTCATGCTAAATTTAGCAAACATTGAGGTTGTTCTAACTCACAAAGGTTGCCAACAGCCCCAAGAATCTTAAACCCGGCAGAAATCAGGATGGCACAGGAATATTTGGGCCATGTGCTTTTCCTAGAATAAGCTGGCCATAGGAAAGACAGCAGCATAAAAAGCCTTCAACTGTTCCTATTATACCTCAGAAGAAACATGGAGGGACCTGCCTGGGCCTCTTAAGCCAGTCCCATTCTCTGAGACTTCTGGCATAGCGTGGCACAGATCTTTAAACCGTGTTAAGCAAAGTATACTCTCTAAGCAAACCAAAACATCAATGCCTGGCCATTAACTGCAGCTAAAATTTCGCTGTACTAATTTTCACTGTTGTAAAAACCAACTTGTTATTTCCAGTATTGCAAGTTCCTGCTCATGGGCAGGAGAGTTCCTGTTTGTTTCTCCTGTTCGTATTAGTCTGTGGTGCTGGTACCATCGTAAAACGTTTCCACAGGACATACTAGCGAAGCTTCGTGGGTTGGCAGTGTCACCCATTTATGGGTCTGTAAGAAGAGTTCTTCCCATTGGACAGAAGGACTAACATACAGCACATAGAGCTACATATAGTAGGGTAAACTGCTCCCTGCTTTTTTTTTTTCTTTTCCTTTTTGGAATAGGCATCACTTTTTATTGCTCATTTTACATTTTCATGGTTAGTATTTGGGTTTTTTTTCCCCTGTTGTATTGTAGTACAAAGTGAAGATTGCACAAACACAGAATGAAGCACCACAACACTTAAATTCACATCAATGGCTACGCCAAAATCATTGAGCAGAGTGCTCAGCAGAAACTTGCAGGATCAAGACCTTTGATACTGCCATTTGATACAAACAAAATGTCCCTATTTCAGTGTAAATGTCAGCAATTCCATTATTAATTCACGCAACGAAAGCAGCTTTGGTCTCGCTGTGCTGAGCAATACTGTCTAACTGAGCACATATGACACATTTTAAAGTAATTCACGTTGCATTTGGTGCTGCGAGCAGATTTTTACCTGCAATCAAGTGACCTTTTCGAAATACTGCGTGTCATTACCCGACTCCTTTAGTAAGTATGACATAAGGGGATAAACCCAACATCAGTCTAAGAATAACAACATTTCAACACAGTTAAGTGGATCTAGTTAAAGGCACTGTCATCCACCGGCGTATGAAGCAAAAACTACAATAAGCAACAAGAGTTTCGGAGGGACAACGGCAGGTTTTGTCTGCTCGGGGCATTTCGTGTACCTGTCTCAGCCTCCCGGGGCGGGTGCGGTAACCGCCCTCCGCGGCGGCGCTCCTCCGCCCGGCGCTGCCGGTC